GCTTTTACTGCTCTGTGTTTTTTGGGGGAGCTTGGCTGATTTTGTCTATACTTGACAGGCAGATCGTACCGTCATTAATTCAAAAAGAAATTGGCCCACTGCTGCCATGGCAACAGCCAAAAACTGATTTTTTGAATACTTTTGCCCCAAATGTATTACTTCCTACCAGTCTTGCAATAGCAATAGCAAGAGATCACTGGCGCCGATATTGTTACACTGTATCAACGTAATCCCAACGCAACTTTGAACTTTGAATGAACTGTAGTAAATGCTGCCTTCAATCTAGAAAATACTAAGCAAAACGGTTGGAAATAATAAATTTAACAACAGAATACGTCCTAACAATAAAATAAAGTAACTTCTAATGACTGAATGTTTTTTGCGAACATCGTATATGCGACTCAATTTTAGTTAGCCAAAAACATGTCACTTGCTTGCTTTTTGAGTGGAGCAGATCCCCAACCAGCCTACCGGCTTGTTCTGTTTATCTCTGGTGCGACTGCAGTCTTTGGAACAAACTTGAGGGACTCTAAAACGCAATTTAATGCATGTGAATTTCCCAACAAAGTTTTAAATGTTTTATCTGTCTGTGGTGTCGCACTGGTGTGGAAAGCTGTCGAATAAAATGGTGACAACCTTCGAACGCATTGTTATGCTAATTTAATTTACGGCATGTTAGTTGACAAAGAAATAAAGATTTCTTGAATTTTCCCGGCGATACTACGTGAATTTGAACCAAGATTTTATCAGCAAGACTCAGAGTACGACAGACAGTGATAGCCACTGAAACATTATTGAAGGCAAATGAACATGTCAGGCAAAAAGACAAGTTTCGAGTCGTGGCATAAAATGGAGGCATATACCATTTTTACTCTTGAGGGGAATGGAAATCAGTTGATTTAAGGGTGTCACAATAAGTAAGAGAGTAAATCGTTTTTATGCTACCAAAACATGCCGACCTTGAACGTACGTTTTGGACTTTAGTACTATGTCATTTTTGTTTGATTACCTAACGTTTTTAGGTTCATGTGCTGCAAGTTACAGAGCACATACCAAAGCGACCGTCTTTCAGCAAATAATGAAGCAAATGCATCGAAATCGAATCGAAATCGCGAAACTCACATTTTTTACGCAAACTGGGAAGTTCGAATTACTAAACAAAGTACATGACAACAAAAGTGAAATATCCAAGAACCAACACATACGAAACATTATATCTCAAAAGTGAATATCCGTGGTGTGTTTTAAGTCTAACTGGATCATAAGTGGACATTTGTTAGTACTCTAAATATCCAAGCATATTTTAGTATAAGGTAGTAACTATTACTTACTCGGAAGTGGTTTTCTGTCCACCTTTAGCAAAAGCATGGTAAACTCCTGTTGCAGTCGATACTGCCAGCATAGCAATAAACACTATCCAGTCAACCACACCAAATGAAATGACATCATTTGACGCCATATTTGATGTTAGGGTGGGGAGCGGCTACTAATGGCAGTCAACCTAATTCAATGATTAATGTCATTAATATCAGTTTTAATTGACAGACTTATCGTACGAAAACAAGTCACAACGTGACGAAAACAACGTTGCTATACGACATACATGGGACATAGGTACTAGTGTCTGTGTTGTTTACACTCGTGCGCAAAGGTGTTATCATACCGTCTTCCATGTATCAACTGACCTGTATTCTAGACGTGAAGCGGTTAAATTGATAAGGTACTCACCACTTAATGACCACGTATAACAATACGATTCTAACTTCCTATAACATTATCCTCGAATACTCATACGTGTGAAAGACGTATAGTATTTGGCTAATAAGTATGTTATAAATGTTCCGATTTTGTATTAGGATTTGTACTTTGACCTGTATACGGGATTTATTTGGGATTCCGTCTCGTGTTTATACAGTGCTGTTTGTATAGATAACAAAATTGAACCTTGAACTGTTACACAAAGACATCATTATTAATGCAGGTTATATCTGAGTGTGTTTATGTAAAAAAAGTATATTTCACAATTCCATAATAATAGATTTATTGAAAAAGTATAGTATTTTTTTTATTTATTATGATCCAAACGTATTATATATCGATTTCATATCTTCAAACCGCCAAGTTATATAATTATAAAAAACAAATGTTTTTCCCTCTTTAAAATCAGTGTTTTAGGGAATGAACATAAATTACAAGGGAAGTTTGACTTTTTGATAGGTTTATTTGTGTTTTTCAACTAGTTTAATGTCACGTCACGTGAAACTATGAATAGTTGCAGGTAAATAAACACCAATACAAGTATAAATTTGTGCTAGTGTAGATTAGTGAGACAAAATGTCTTTGGTTGGTGGTATTATTACAATTTTCACAAGATAACTACATTGTCATTGGCTGAAAATTATATTGTCAAATCAAGTTGAATAGTGAAGACCTGCACCGGGCTACATTCACTATAATATAGTGTTTGTTTGCATCCAGTTCCTGCATTCGAGGTGCTCCATAACAATGGAATTATAACAGCACCTTCAATTAGGAACATAAATGATTGTACAGTGTCATTTGTAAGAAGACTTTACATTGGAAAAATCACAAGCGGTGTCTATCATAACTTAATTTTGCACCCCTTCTGTAAAAGGAAAGAAGATACTGATGATACTGATCATGATGATGATGATGTCACCCGAGTAGGACGTGCCATCACTGCGCTCCCGCTTTACAAGCTTTTCCGAAGTTTGAAGACATTTTTTTTGGAACCCAAAAGAGAAAAATCAACCTTTTTGGCTACCGAGTGCTAACTCGGTACTGGCAAAAAGCAAAATGGCGTCCCAACCCGATGCCGAAGATAGAGCAACCCAGGCACTTGCTGGCCTAACAGAAAACACGTCATTAAGTGTGAATCGATTGATGGGACTAGGATTGAAATTTACTTAGAGGCTATTGCCCGGATTACTGGACCTAAGAATATTGTAGCGGCATCAAGAGTGAATGGTTCCGTGATTGTTTTTTCTTAGCTCGGTCACCTGGGTGAATGACATCTGCACTAGAGGTTTAGAGGTGAGTGGATATTCAATACACGTAGAGCCACTAATTAAACCTGCAACAATAATCGTTGTCTCCAGTGTACCACCGTTTATACCTGACGCGCTTATTCATAATGAACTATCACGATTTGGTAAAGTTATAAGCACTATTTGATCTATACCACTGGGATGTAAGAACGAGGCCCTAAAACATGTATAATCTTTCCGGAGATACGCATTTGTACTACTGGATTCTGATGGGGTGAACCATATGAACAAACGGATGTACAATTTCAAGAAAAAAGCTACAAAGTTTATTTGTCAGCAGACCAAATGAGATGTTTTAAATTCCAGCAAACAGGTCACATACAAAGAAACTGTCCAAACTTACGACAGTCAATTGAAACACTTGACAACGATACTACCATTGTCGCCACTGAGCATCCGAACAACAAAACATCTGCCCACGTAGATCAACAGCCAACCAATGACCGTGTACCAACGACTGGACCCATGAGCAACAATGAGCTAACCAACAAATTAAACACCGAGCCAAGAACGAAACGATTGTTGCCAAGACTGAACGGAGGCGTAGTGAAAGAGCTTTTGTAAGTATCTTGTTGTCGCTGCAAAATAAACTAATTGGTCGCCATTTTTTTGACTAAAGTGTTGTCTCCTATCTTTGGGTTTAAGCAAATGACTGCTAGACAGTGTTTTTCCGTTTTTAATTGTCTGGATGAGAACTTTATGTAAGTCCGTGCCTATGATAGGCCAGAAGGTTCGGTAAAATTTACACAGTAAACTGTCGATGCCAGGACTGCGGTCTGTTGAGAGTTGGCTAAAGGCTTTGGTAAATTCGTCGTACGTAATTTCGCTTTCGGAATTTTTGCAGTCGGTTTGATCGAGTTGTGGTAATTGGTTCAAGAGTTGTGTCTGGAATGTGTCGTCAACGATATCTGGGGTGTACAAGGATTGATAAAAGTTGTATATTATATTGCGTATTTCATGTGGGTCTTCTGCCCAGTGTTAGAATGCCGTCGGAGGTTGAAGACAAATTTGTTCGAAATATCGCTGTTCTCGAGTAGTTGATGACGGGCTCGTACGGCCGCTCCTTTGCTTTCTGTTTGGATTATTTGTGTAAGAGTTCTTTTCTTTTCTTTTCCTTGTATTCGTTAAGTATCTCATTGTTCAGGTGAATGTTTTTTTCAAGCTCTTGGATCTCTTCTTCGAGTTCTGTTTTTGTTCTCCTTTAAGCCAGTGTGCTTAGATGTGCAGTATTGCTGAGTAAGCAGTTTAATTTTCCACTTTCCGATTTCTCACCACGTAATTAAATTATCAAGGTTGCCTTCCTCCTTGCGCCATTGTGCCCAGAAATTTTTAATAATATCTCTGTATTCTTTGTGTTTCAAGATATGTATATTCATGTACCAGATTGGGCTGCGGGTTTTTATTTGCTTTTGTGACAGTACTAGTTTAACAAGTGAGTGATCAGAGAAAGCGAGTGACGAGTTTTTAATTGCAACTGTCTTAATGCGTGTTTTCATCCAGGTGTTTATGTAGATTTTGTTGAGGCGTGCTATGCTATTTTCCCTATGCCAGGTATAGTTTCTGTTGTTGCCATGGTGATAGCGCCAGCTGTCCGTGAGTTTATGTTTACTTATGAGGTTAGATAAATATCGTGCTGTGCGAGGTGCGGGTTCGGTGCTGTGAATTCTGTCTTGGTTGCAGTTGAAATCTCCGCCGATAATTATTAGATCTTCGTTCAAGCCGGAGAGAAGTGTAGCAAGTTTAGTGAAGCAAGCAATGCGTTCACCAGGGTCCGTATGTGCGTATATGTTGATGATGTTAGTTTGGATATCGTTGATCTTTACATTAACGTGTATTAAGTGTCCGGGGATTGGTTCAGATTTGCTGGTTATTTCTATGTTGGATTTTAGAGCGAATAAAATAGCTGCACCCGCACTGTACGTACTGTACGTGTTGCCCTTAACTGAGGTGGTTCGGTGGTGGTTCTTCCGGTTGATTTCAGGTGGATTCTTATTTTTAGTGATCATTTTGTAGATTCGAGCTTGTTGTGATTTTATTAGTGACTGTGATGATCGGTATTTCATTAGTTGTTTGGACAGTTCTCTGAGATTTGGGCCGGGTTGTATTCAATACAATTTTCTATAAACTTTTTTGAGTGTTTGACGTCTCATGCAGAAATTCCTTAATCGATGTAATGGATGCTTCGCATGATTGTGATATTTCTGACAAGCGGACATTACTGATTCGTTGTCGTAGAGTGGCAATGTTCTGTGTCGTAAGTGGTGAGTATGGAGTACTTCCGATATTGTCCGATACAATCCCAGGCTCTACCAGTGGTGGCGTAGCAGGGGGCGGAGGCGAGGGAGGCAATGGCAAAAATCATTCACGAAAGTCAAACATGCAGCATACCACGACGACAGATCACCGACAATATTTAGTACATACGTGACACCATATACTTCGCCAATACCAACTCGCAATTCTCACTTTGGATCAGAGAAAAGCCTTCGATCGTGTGTGCCACCATTACCTGTTCAATACCCTCGCAGCTTACCTAATTTTATTAATTTCATCAAGATACTGTATACAGATATAGAATCGCTCATCCACATTAATTGCTCACTTACATCGCCGCTTAACATTCATCGAGGAATACTCCAGGGATGCTCTCTCTCTTGGGCCAACTATACGTCATCGCATTGGAACCACTTCTAAACAACACAAGTAACCTGTAGAATACTGTGTGGGTAATATTTTTTATATTGATTTTTGTTGCATTTGCAGCAAATAGTTACCAAACAATGAGAAATCTATAGGATTGAATATACCCCACAGCTGGCTTCACATGCATTGTTCATAGTTCATATGGTGCTTACACCAGGATTTAATTACAGCACCTAGGCGGTATGTGGTTACAGCTTAATGTTCGAGTAATCGCAAGAAATTGACATGACAATAGAAATTCATTAAAGACTGCCACTCCCATGCAATTAACAGCGAGTGAAATTCCTGGGATTGAAACATATATTTTGAAGTCACTGATGTAGGCAACGAATAACTGCAAGTTGACATAAAGACGAGGTAGTTTATTTAATCAGTGGTCAACTAGAGGCTGAAATTATAATTAATTTGTTTATTTCAATTTCTCCTGACGTCAAATAGAATACACTGGTGAAA